TGGAGGGTGGGGGGGGTTTGTTCTTTTGTTTTGCATACATGCACCTTTCCCTGCCAAAACACTAGCTGCTGGAAACTGATGTGCACATTATATGCCAAAAATATGGTAAGAGCAGGTTCTGCCACTTTCCTTGGTTTTCACCTGATAAATCTGCAGCAATCCACTGGGAGCAGGTTTGGCTCCCTAGCTGCTGCTACTCAGTTACAAGGGAAGAACTTTTTTTCACTTTAAATTTTGCCTTTCAAAAACAAGGTGTATATTATATTCCAGGGCACGATGTATGGGAGAAAATATGGCATTCTTTCCTGAAGAAGCCAGGCACAGTCCTCATGATTTAAAATAATCAGGTTTGCTGCCCAAACGGAAGTGTCATGAGTCCTTAGAATGAAGGCATTTTGTTAAGCTTAGAGATGCCATGTGAAATCTCCATTTTGTCCCATAATTAACTCCTAAACCCCCTGATCCATCTCGCACTGGTTTAAGCTCTCAAATTATCAGCACTGTTCAAAAGGTACAGATCTGAAGACAGTTGTAATTTCACAAAAACCTCCGAGATTGACTATCCCTTTCCAGCTCCATGAGGTGTCCCTGTTCTAATCCAAATCAATACAGCATCTGAAATAAAAAGGTTAGGATTTAGGGATTCAGAAATACAATATTAATGCCCTTTTAAGATCACCTGCCTACCACAGTTCCCTTTTCCCACAGATAAAACTGTTCTAGCTTCTAATGCTATTTAAATTTAGATATCCTTATTTTCCCCAATGGCTCTGTAAAATTCTTCATAATCTGGAGATCGGGTAGCAGGACAGCTTAGCTCTCCATAACTGGAGGATTCTTTAAGTATCCCAAGGTCTAAAGAGAGACAGATGACACTTCACTGAACCAAAATGATTACTACAGGTATTAAGAAATTCAGTCAGTGCAGGAAACATAACCAAAGTTCGCTGAACAAAATTTGGCAAGCTAGAATTGACTGTCCTATTCACATTCTTTGAACTGCATAGCTAGGTTTTAGCTCTACTCCCACCGATTCAGTAAAGGATGCAATAAATTAAAATGATTTAGACTATTACTGAAAGGATGTGACAAATTTTAATGTCATTTCTGAACTGTCTTCACAGCCAAAAGGAATTTACTGATACATATTTGAATTGCTCATCAGGCAACTTTACTGCAAGATACTTTCCTCTACGGAAAAGTACAGAAGTAGAAAAACAATTGCACACTAATATTCAGCTATATTAAGATAGTTTATGCCCAAAAAGCTAAACTACAATGACTAAGTCATGCTTATAATGTATTTATGCCACAGAAGCATGAACGGATGAGACATGCTCATCCATTATTATTTTAGCATACAGTAGGTCCAAGTTATCTTCCTTTACTCCACTGTTCCCACTAAGTATCTTATTAAATTTGCACATAGTACATCTGAGCCATAAAACAAAACTAGCTACATCTTTTTATTTATTCGTTATCACACTAGCATAAGATCCCACTGTGCTAAGCACAGTACAAACATATACCGAGACTGCTCTGACTCTGAAGAGTTCATGATCTCAGCAAACAAACAACATGGAATGGAAAAGGGAGTGAAAGAAAGTGATCTGTCCACATGGCACATCAGTGGCAGAGCCAGGATTAGAATTAAAGTCTTTACATTTTGACCACACAAATACAATATTTAACCAATTCTTCACCTCCGTTTTCTTGTGCAGGGACCGGGACTTCCCTGCTGTGATAGAAGCCGGACTCGAGGGGATTGCCTTCAGACCTCAGGTTGGGGAGGACCGGGTTAGAGAGCTTCTGGAGGGGCTGGACGCGTTCAAGTCAGCGGGTCCGGATGATCTCCACCCCAGGGTGTTGAGGGAGCTAGCTGGGGTTATTGCGGGGCCCCTGGCACAGCTCTATGAGCGATCATGGTGCTTGGGCCAGGTGCCAGATGATTGGAAGGTAGCAAATGTGGTCCCCATCTTCAAGAAGGGGAAG